ATTATAAAAGTGTTTTAGAAAAATAAAATAAAATAAGAACCATGCGCTAAAATTGATTTAATATGATTAAATTGATTTAAGTTGCAAAATTGATTTGCAAAATAATGTTATATGTGAAATTGAATTTAAGAGTTAAATTTTAGAATTTCACATATCCGAAAAATAAATTGTTTATTTTTCGATTTGAAAACCACGAGATGTTTTTCTGAAACAAAATACATATTTGCAAAATAATGAGTGGGAGAGGGTCGTATGACAATGCGACCCACTGGTCACCATCATTAGTTCAACACCGTGAGATTCGAAAGGGGCTTCACGGCGGCACCGATTCCGCACTCCCTACGGAAAGTGTTCTTTCGGATCAATAACAAGGTTGACTTCCTAGCGATAGGATTCAAGGATGTATTTCCGGTTTGACCTACCCTACGGCGGCACTCCGGAGTTAAGTCTGTAGAATCTGAAATGATGGGTTACACTCATGAAAATGTAATCAATTTGTTGATTATATTTTTGACCAAAAATAACGGTAGTTGATAAATATGAAAAAATGAGATTTTTTTATTATATTTATCAATTGAGAAGGTCTCGGTTCAATTTGCGATATTTTGACCTACCATATGGCGGCACTATATTCGTGGTAAATTAGATTATCGTTGGCACCCAAAATTAAAACATGATTTATGTATTTTTCATGTGCATCATGCATCATATTTAATTGTGCCTAAATTCACATGCCTTGATATTCATGCACATAAATTGATTAGATGAATATTTTATTTATTTCCAGCAATATGTCGAATCCCATTATCACACTACTTGCGACTGAAAAATTAGACGGTGATAACTACTCTAAGTGGAAAAGTAACATGAACGTACTGTTAGTCTGCGAAGACTACAAACTTGTCTTAGTGGAGGAATGTCCTCCTGAACCCGCGGCTAATGCATCCAAAACCGCAAGGGAGCCTTATGATCGCTGGATCAAGGCCAACAACAAAGCAAAGTGCTTTATGCTGGCCAGTATGAGCGATGTGCTTCGCAAGAAGCATGAGGAGATGAAGACTGTTTATGAGATAATGGAGTCTCTAGAAGCCATGTTCAGCGCTCCCTCTGAGAAGGCTCGTTTGGATGCTGTTAGGGCTTTCATGAATGACAAAATGAAGAAAGGTTCTTCAGTTAAGGCACATGTTTTGAACATGATTGATCACCTCCATGATGCGGAGCTCAATGGTGCCAGGATCGATGAAGCCACCCAAGTTGGCATCATCATGAAAAGCCTATCTCCTGATTTTCATGAGTTCGTGAACAACTTTGTTATGAACAAGAAAAAGTCCAATCTCACTGAACTCATGAATGACCTGCAAAACTTCAAATCCACCAACAAGCGAAGGGGAGGAGAAGCAAATGTTGTAGTTGTAGGAAGTTCTGGTAAAATTAAAAGAAAGAACCAGAACCAAGGGAAAGCGAAGAAAGGAAAGAACAAAAGACCCAAGAAGGCAAAAGGCCCCATCCAGAAACCCAAAGGAAAGTGTTTCCACTGCAATGGCGAAGGGCACTGGAAGAGAAACTGTCACAAGTATCTCGAGGAGCTTAAAAAGAAAAAGGAACAAGGTAAATCAGATTTACTAGTCCTTGAAACATGTTTAGTAGATGGTGATACCTCAGCCTGGATAATTGATTCAGGAGCAACTAATCATGTTTGTTTTTCTTTGCAGAGTCTTAGTTCTTACACCGAGCTAGCAGATGGGGACTACACGATGAAAGTGGATAATGGCGCAAGAGTTTCGACAAAAGCAGTGGGGAAGTTAGACTTCGTTTTAGGAAAATAAATTTTTAGTTTTGAACAATGTTTATTTTATTCCAGACATTCGTAGAAATTTAATTTATGTGACTAAGTTATTTGAACAATTATTTTTACTGTGGAAAATTTGAATTTTCTAAGTTATTTTTATTTTTTTAATCTGTATAGTATACTTGGATAATTTTTTTTTTAAAATGGTTTTGGTTGATCAGGTTTTGGCTCCATTACCAATTGGGTTTGCTGTGTTTATGGTTCACTTGGCTACCATTTCTATTACTGGCACATGGATCAACCCAGCTAGGAGTTTTGGACCTGCAGTCATTTACAACAATGACAAATGTTGACGGTAAAAATTCGTCAACAGTGACGATGAATCTTTAGTGTTAATACGTGGATTTATAGCATAATTTAGAGTTAAAATGAGAAAAAGAACACCGGAATTTATAGTGGTTCACCCCCAAATGCTGGGCTATGTCCATTGTGAGTATTTTTCACTAATCGTTTTAAGAAGAATTACAATCTTCCCCAAGAAACTGCCTAGAGAGGTATTACAATGCTCACTCTTATGATGGAGGAGGGAAGAGAGATTTTTTTGTGATTCTTTTATAGCCAGGAGTCCCCCTGTCTCTCTGCCTTTCCTCTTCATATATACAATCGTATATGTTTCCCACCCAGCTCCTTGAGCCGTACTTTGAGCCGGTCATGTCATTCCTCATAACAGTACCCTCTAATGACTAAGATGTTGGCTGGTATCTCATGTTCTCCACTAACTCTGCATGCATTTAATGCCTCCCACGTTTTCCACTAACTCTGCATGCATTTAATGCCTACCACATGTCTGAAAAACTGTCTCGCTATGTGAATGTAGGTGTTGTCGGCGCCTTAGTACTCCTTGAAGTGGTCTCCGCTTTTGAGGGAGAATAAGGTCGACCGTATGATGCACTTCCTAATGTGGCTAATGTCTAGAGTTGGTGTCTCTAAGGAGGTATGATTCCTTGCGATCTACTGGCCTGACCTGTTAATACTTGTAATGCCACGTGGCGAGCATCCACATGACATCCATTTAACGGCTGACGTGGAGTGTGAAATTTTTTCACAAAGTCTAGGATGATCAGGTACATTTATACCTACATAATTTGATGTCATTTTTTTCTCTCCAAATTTTGCAAGGTATAAAAAAATATTATATAATATCGAATAATTTTAAATCATCGTACCATGTCAGAATAATAATATCAAAAACAATTTCTTTTTATTTTTATTTTTTATCTTGCAATTGAACTCCTTTTTTTTTCACGAATAAGAAAGTGATTTTTTTTGGTGAACAGTGGATATTTTGGGTTGGACCGTTGGTTGGGGCATTGGCAGCAGCGGCATACTACCAATACGTGCTTAGAGCAGCGGTGATTAAAGCTTTGGGGTCGTTTCGTAGTACCCCTCAAACTGATATAATGTCGTTTTCTGATACCGTGTTTTATTTTTGTCAAATGTAAAGATATTTCAAATATTTTGTAATTCTAAATTGGCAAATGGGATGTGATAGAGTGATGAGGCTAAAATTTAATTTGATGGAGGTTCAAAAATGAAAAATAAATAAATAAATTTGATTATTATTTCGTGGGACTGGAGATGGTCATATTGGTGAAATCTCTTTGTCGTTTTTGGTTTAGGTTAGGTGGCTCCAAAAATAAACGGCATCCATTGCAAAATAGATAAACGGCAATCTCTTGCTAAATCTTTGATAACATCCATAAAAGACAGTAACATGTAAATCACAATACTAAAAAATCCACATGGTTGAATTTGACAATAATGATTAAAAACGACAATAAGAAATATCAACATGTAAACGACATCATTGACATCAAACGGCAAAGTTTTAAAAAACGACAGTACTCAAGGAAAAAAAAGTCCTTTTTTAAGGCCATAATAGGTTCATAAAAAAAGCCCATAATGGATAAACGACAACATCTCTTGAAAAATTTCTAATGAGGTAATCTTGACAAATACATCTTGAAAATACATTAGTCAAAATTTTTATTATTTATTCTTAATTCATAATTTTTTAGTCAAATAATTACACTAATAAAAAGATATTTATCAAGAATGAAGAATAAAGATTCAAACTCATGTAAATTCTCCATTTTTTCTTAATCTCTCCATATAGGAGACTTGGTAGCCTTCATTACGAATGACAAATTTTCTTACAAACGACACCCAGGAAAAATCCATCTTTTCTATTCTCTGCAAACGGCCGTAATAGATACACGACAACAACTCTTGGAAAATTTCTAATTATACAAGAACGACATTATATACATTAACATATAACCAGCAGTAATTTATAACGACAACAATGGTGTAATACCTACACAAGATTTATTTCAAAACGACAATAACCAGCAGTGACAAAATTAACTCGACAACATACAAAAGATAGCATTAATTGCGCACGACAAATTTTCAAGAAACGACGACATTCATCATTAACGACATCATTTTTTCCCCCGCAAAAGGCGTAATAGAAATTGATAGCTCTTGAAAAATTTCTGATGATAGTTAGGATGCGGGAAATATTAGTGAAATAATCAACAACAACGCTGAGAGAGAGAGAGAGAGAGAGAGAGAGAGAGAGAGAGAGAGAGAGAGAGAGAGAGAGAGAGAGAGAGAGAGAGAGAGAGAGAGAGAGAGAGAGAGAGAGAGAGAGAGAGAGAGAGAGAGAGAGAGAGAGAGAGAGAGAGAGAGAGAGAGAGAGAGAGAGAGAGGCTGAGAGAGAGAGAGAGAGAGAGAGAGAGAGAGAGAGAGAGAGAGAGAGAGAGAGAGAGAGAGAGGCTAACTTGGAAACAAAAACGAGCGAAAATAAGTTCTATATTGATCAGCACGAGTCTTAACACACATGGTTTTTCAGGAAATTTACAAGCTCTCCAACAAACAAGGGTATCTTGAAAAACGGTTGGTTCTTTTTTCGTCTGAATAAAGAAATAGATCTCAAAGATGCCACAACTTAGATCCTTTGGGTTTCGGAATGCCGCAAACAATTTACAAAGGCAAAAGAATGACGGGGCAAGGAATGAATTCGGCAAGTAGGTTCGCATCCACATGCTTGGAGTGAATGGCTTCCATGCTTATAACAACCAAATCCAAATTTAGGTCATCAGCAACCTCACCGATGATTGCAGTCGGCTTCTTCCCCGCCCCGAGTTGCTCTAACAATCGGAATTCCTGGAATCCACCTATCAGACACATTTTTCAAAAGGGTTAAAGCATTGGTAGTCATAAAACATGTTTGTGCAAGTTTTGTTGCAGCATGACCAAAAACACAAATTATCTTATCAGGAAAGTTACACACCAACATTTCACGAATTTTTCAATTGAGCAATTTAGATCAAGGTATCTCTTATTCTAAAAGCTATTTTGTACACGCTTCAACCCCTGAGAAGATGGGGAACAAGAGAAATTAAGTTCATATGAAGCCTAGTGCCTCGTACTTTGTTGTGTTTTGGGATGGACTCATGGAAGCTTTTTGTTCAATGCACTAATGATAGATTGCATTGTCTCTAACGAGCATTCGGCACATGTAAAAGTAACGATCCCCACCCAAATCTAGATGGGTCATCTGAGGGTTCACCGTAGTTCATTGCTATGCTCAGATACACACTCTGCTATCCTTTTCTGGAAGGCAGGCTCCCCAAGAGGGATGCAAGCTCTGCACCTCAATACAATCGTGTTAGCCTACTCTTACAATGAGGTATAGTAAGGCGATTTCCGTCCACTGCCATCTTATGGAGCAAGTATGTAGATTGTTCTGGCTCATACAGCTTCTAGGAATATTTTGATGAAGCAATTAAGAAGATTATATACTGGGTGATCTTAAATACACGACATCATTGCCTCCTCAAAAAGCACCATAATTATAAGAGTCCATCTCCTTGTCCTACGGTCCCAGCATTCAAGTATTATTTTGTTTGTTCGTGTCCTTTGATGCACATTTTTATGCAATGCTTGCATCTCATGTGCCCTTTCATTTTTTCCTTCTTGAGGAACATTGTTCGAAATCAAAAACCTTAAAATAAGATCAAGAAAGAGAGTATACAAACCTTCAGAGAGATGCCACCGGATGCTAGAGAGCTGGGTTTCATGCTCTGGCAATGTTTCTTTCTGTTGTTCATCGATAACTGCAAAGAACATTAAGTTCTATGTCCCTTGAACATCTTCCATTAAAAAGCTTCTAGAAAAAAGGTGCCTCTACTGCTCAATTTCCAACACTAACATATACAGAATACTATGAACAGAGATCAGCGGACATACCCACGACAGTAATGTCGGCCCCATACTTCTTGGCCAAGGAAGCAGTTGTTGCCACGGCCTATAAAATGTAGGAATAAAGGTGAAAGAAATGAAAAGAGAAACAATTGTATTAGGTCAAGCCATCAAGACACTTTTGCCTACAACGAATAAGATTGACACTACTCGGCAACCCTCACATCGGAATTTAATACGACCTTGCACTTAGATTTTTTCAGGACGGATATCTACAATCAAATTAAGGTTGATTGACATGCACACCATATCTAGAGGGTCCTTAACAACACAGTCCAAACAAAATAGGGATCTCGGTTATATCTATGGGACTGGGAAAATTGGACCAAGTAATAGATCCAGCATAAAGTTTCTCTCACACATAAAGTTCAAACCTCTGACCCCAGAACCCACAGATTAGTTTACCCCATATCCAGTAGGCACAAGGTTCAAAATAATTCAATGAAGAATTTCAAAATTGTTCCACAAAAAAGATATTGTAGCATTTCCTTTCTACAGCATTTTCAAATCTTCCATATAAAAAAAAAAAAATCGATTTTAAGCTATAGATACTTATGACTTCCCTTAAATTTAAGGAAATGCGATCCCCTAAGGTGCTGCTAAATAGGAAAATCTTATCGAAGTCCATAAATGATAAAACATATTCATCGCATACACACATCCGAACTACAAATTAAAGCATGAAACACATATACATTGGAAGAAAGAAGGGCTGGAGCCAAAAAGTGAACACCCCTTATGATAAGTTGGTACAACTCCTTAGGCACTAAGTATTGATTAAACAAAAGGATAATAAAATTTCTGAACTTCATATGATTGTATCAAATATATTAGTTTTTGCACCAACACCCAAAAGGACCATAATTCTTAACGTTCACGTAGCTTTTCACCTACAAAATTTATGCTATGATTACAAAGACAAAGACTTTAAAGCAATTTGCTGAGGAAATATCCATGAGGCCCTGAAGAAAGTTTTAAGGGTGACCTGTCTTGTTCCCTCGGAGAGATAAGGATTTCGGTCTGTGATTGGGAGGAGCAAATGCTTGAAACCAGTAAAAGCATCTTCACCGGAGCTCACATCAGCCTCTTGTGGCTGAGCCCTTGCTGTTAACAATAAAGGAAAAAACATACACCAAATGAGAAAACAAAAGAAAAAGTAGGCCCCATTCGTTTCGAGTTAGAACTTGTGTTAAAAAGTGAATCGCAGAAAAAGTTGAATTTGAATTTTTGCCGTTAACAATAAAGGAAAAAACATACACCAAATAAGAAAACAAAAGAAAAAGTACTCTTTGCTGATAGCAATCAAGTAATGCATAATCTAAATGAGGAAAAACATAGTACTGTTTCTTTGCTGATATAAATTAAGTAATACATACACAATATGAGGGGAAAACGAAAAACTGAAAATTATATTAAAAAAGTGTGCTCTTTGCTGGTATAAATTAAGTCAAACATACACGAAATGAGGGGAAAAAAAGTGTTATTTGCTGAAAAAATTAAGAAATGCATACAAAAAGAAAAAAAAAACCCCTTAGATGGTATAAATTAAGTAAAACATACAAGACATGACAACAAAATACTCTTTGCTGATAAAATTAATACATACACAAAATGAGCAAAAAAAAAAAAGAAAATTCAAATGAAAAAGTACTCTTTGCTGACAAAAATTAAGTATTACGTACACGAGAAAAGAAAAAATTCTTTACCGATTTAAAATAAGTAATGCATAGAAGAAATGACAAAAAAAAAAAAAACAATTAATACAATTTAAAAATAAGAATTTATTTCGCAAGAACTAACGATCGGTTAAATTTTGGTAAAGAAATGATCTTTCGCAAAGTAAATGAATTACTTTTGTGCCGAAGCCGAGTGTAGTTGGAGAAGAATGAGATTTTGCGAGCTTTGGGGGTGAAACTGAGAGAAGCAGAAGAGAAAGGCGCAGAAAACAGAAATTCGGAAGCAGACGAAGCCGGAATTGGAGTTTTGGCGTGAATTGAAGTTCTTTCAACGGGCACCACGACTGGATAGTGAGAAAGCGTCATGGTAGGGCGGAGTTCGGAGCTCGGAGTTAACTCGGTGACCGTTTCTCAGTGATGAAGATGAGGAAGAAGAAGAAGATTAGGGGTAATTCGAGAAAGCACTGAGAGTGGGGAGTGATGAATAGGATGATCGTGCGAGTGCTACGTGTAATGAGGACGGTTCATCTCTTTCTGTCGACCGTCGATCTAGGTTCATATGGTGATTCTTTCGATCTTGACCGTCCATCTTCTTTAATTTCTGTGCGAACCGTGAGATTAACTCAATATAATAATATTTTAAATTAATCACAAAAATTTCCCTTTAATTATACCCCGTAACACTTTATAGTAAGATTCATAATTATTTTTTATTTATGTATATTTTTTATGAGAGAAAATATTATAATAAATTATGAATTATGATTCAAATTATGTTTAAAATTTTTCTTTTAAATAATAAAATGTTAATAAAAAAGCTTATATCGTTAAGTTTTTAATTAAAATTGACATTTAATTTATAATTTTATTATTTAAAATTTAATTCAACTTTAAACTAATTTAAATATTTGAAAAAAACTTCACATACTTTTTTTTATTAAAAAATCATAAAACTTTTAAATTACGTTTAATTAATAATAGACGTATCATAATTAAAGTTTAAATTAAAATTAAAATTAAATTTAAATAATAGAATTATTAAAATATTTTAAAATAATAAATTATATGTTAATTTTTTTAATATAAAAGATTTTTTTATTAATATTTTATTATTTAATGAGAATAAATATTACATTTGAAAGATTAGAGACAAATATCACGTGGAGTTTTTTATCACGTGGAGTTTTTTGTAATTAATAACGGAGGAATTCTTAGTTCGGCAAAAAGAAAAACTTTTTATGAAAAGAAAATAAATTGGGCCATTATAATTGGGCCGGACGTAGTTGGCCGGGGCGCGAAGGCCCAGTGACGAGAAGCCGCGATTGCGACAAACTCAAAGAGAGTGTCAGTAGGCCGAAGAAAGGAAGAAGACGGCGAGCACTGCAACATGGAAACGGAAGTCAATAACTCGGGAGCGGAAAAATCCGGCGATACGAGTGCAATGACGACGATATCTCGTCATAATTTCGGAGACGCAGCAGACGAACCGGCCTTCTCTGTCTCCATCATCGAGGTCCTTCCTTCGATTTCTGCAAAAGTTTCTCTTCCGTTTCTCCGCTTCCAAAATTCAATTTCAATTTCAATTTCATTTTCTTTTTCAATTGCAATTTCAATTTCTATATATTCAGAACATGAAAGAAGAGTACGGACTGTTCGTGTGGCCGTGCAGCGTCGTCCTGGCCGAGTACGTTTGGCAACAGAGGTCGCGCTTCTTCCAAGCTTCTGTGCTTGAGGTACTTCTCTTGATCTTTCTCTATTTTTACTGTTTTTGTTATTATTATTTCTTTTTCTTTTTCCTGCATAATTAGGAGGTTTTCAGCTTGGAGCAGGGACTTGCTTGCCTGGTTTGGTGGCGGCTAAACTGGGTGCTGACGTCACTCTCACTGACGACGCTGGTAGATCGGAGGTATTACTACTATTACTAATCTCTCTCCAATTAGTTTTCGCCAGCTTAATTTTCTTTATGCTTCTGATTAGAGCTAAAAAAAATTAATGAATAATGTTAAGTATACCAGAATTTTAATTTTTTGCATCAATTAATATGATACGTTGAGTTGTTATTTTTATATTTATAAGTGTTTAAAATATTTTTACGTTAATTAATAATAAAAAATTACATTTATAAAAAAAAATATGACAATTTACATGCATTAATACATAAAAATAAAAATTTAAGTTAATATCTCTAGCATTATTAAAAAAAATATGTGAGTTTGTTTACATTTTTTAATAAACACTAAAAAGTTAGTATAAAATTTAAATCTTATCGTCCAAACATCTGCTAATTTTTTTATTAACAAAGTGAAAAATGGTTTTTAATAAGCAATGGTAAACAATTTGTATCCTTTGATATCTCAATTTTCCAAATTAGTTTCCTTAGCTCGATTTCCCAAATTAGTTTCCTAAAATACGAAAGCTGCACAATTTCTGATTGTTTCAAAATATTGGAAATGATAGTAAACCAAACAGTGCAATTTTTTTCTTTTCCTCTCTTCGTGTTGCTTTCTTATTACTTTGTGATGCCTAGACTTGGTAATTAAGCTCACTAGTTCTTGTCGCTATTTAATCGTTGTCGTTTCATACATATGTAACAAGTGTCCTCTTTGCCTTTGTCGGTTTGGGATTGTAGGTTCTGGACAACATGAGAAGAGTGTGCCACCTAAATGAGCTCAAGTGTAAAGTAAAAAACCATCATTCTCTTCTTCTTTTTGGCTCTTCACATTTCACACTTTCTTCTTCACATGAATGATTGATATAGACTATGCTGGGAAAAGGGGTGGACAATTATCACTCTTTATGCATGTCAAAAGGAGAAAAAAATGTATTTAATTTTCTTGGGTTTTCTTTCCATTGTTCCTACACTTTGATTACCTAATTTTGATAATAATTAATATCCATCGCCATTATTCCCATAAGACAATATGAGATGTTTCTAAGAAGATTTGGTGATGGTGCAGATATTGGGGCTCACATGGGGAGTTTGGGATGAATCTATGTTCAGCTTATCCCCAACAATTATTCTTGGGGCTGATGTTTTATATGACAATAGTGGTACTTCCATTACTGTTTTTAACTCTCTTTTGCCCTCCCTTTGTTTGAAAAATGCTTGGAATATCATTAGTGTTAAGTATCACAATTAATAAAAAGCGAATTTATATGTAGATTTTATATTGTGGGACTGACTTTTTTTATTAATATATGGTGCTTGACACTCCACCAGTACCTTAGCATTGCTCGTTTTGTTTTTGTTTAAGTTGTTTAAGAACTGAAATGTTAATTAATTTTTTTGTTGTAAGCATTTGACAATCTCTTTGCCACTGTCACTTTCCTGCTACAAAACTCTCCTGGCTCAGTATTCATAACAACATATCATAATCGGAGGTATTTTTCCTCATTGCTTCGGTATTCTGATTGTCATTTCACGCTAGCACATTACTCTTTTAATACTGTGATATCTTTTTATTTATTATTATTTTTTCCTGGTTTTAAATAAATAACTGGCAGTGGGCATCGTCTTATTGAGTTCTTGACGGTGAAATGGGGATTGAAGTGCGTGAAGCTTCTAGACAGTTTTTCATTCATGCCATCTCACAAGGCATCTGCTTTAAGTGGCAACCTTCAATTGGCAGAGATTGTTTTGAACAGTGAAGCAGCTGAGACACTAAGATAAAGAATATATACGTATATATAATAATATAAGTTCAATATATGTGTGTTATGTGTATGGTTAAGAAAGCTATCTAACCAAAAGTGCTGTGTAACAAATATAGATTTTCTATTTTTGCCCCTAATCCTCTTTTAACTATCAGATTAATTTTTATTCTGTTTGAACGGTTAGATATGACCTCTTGAGAAACTACAATCTTGTATATTATTGGAAATTTGAAGCTTTGTATTCATATTGTTGTGCTTCATAACCCAAGTTGTATTCTAATGTTAAAAGAAATCCAAGGACATAAAAAAAATGAAGATGGATTAATACAAATTATGGGATGTTTAGTCCAAAACTTCCATTATTATTCCTTTCCAGACAAACTGGCATAAATCGATTTAATGGACTAGCCACTCTGACATTTTGAACTTTACTATAATTGATAAAAATAAAAAAAAAATAAAAAAAATAAAAAAATCTTAATTTACAATCCTGCAATTCTTCCTAATTTCCTGGCCACCATTGATGCTGCTGAGCTTAACAACGGAGTTTGCAAAAGCATTCCAGAAAGCTTGCTTTGAGCTAGCATACTTGTAAACCAATGCTTTGGTCTTGGGAAAGCCAAGCAGAGCTTGGTCCGAAGAGAAGAGGCTTTTCCTCTGCAGGATCAGCTTGTAGTAATTGTTATCGAAAGTCGCTGAATAAGGATCCATCGGGACGCCGGCGTTCTTCGCGGTGTTGTGAAGCGGACACCTGCCCTGTAACTTTGACGCAAAGGTCGGATGCAGCGTGGGGTCGATATCATGTGTGGCATTGAAGTTGTGGATTCTGTTTTGGAATGCCGCGCAATGGGCAAAGCCTATAGTGTGCGCTCCTGCATCATCGGATTTTCAATAATTAAGCGTTTGGTTAGTGTATTCGTGTCATGATTTGAATCATGATTCGTGATTCGTTACAGTATTTTCTCTCACAAAAAACACACGTAAATCAAGAATGGTTCTGAATCATGATTTGCTACAGTATTTTCATATTGTCCCTTTGATGCTGATAGGTAATTTTTCATAGTGTACTACAGAATTTTCCTGAGATGGATGATAGATGGAATTTAAAGAATGGTAAATATACCTGAAAGAGCCACAAGATCGTCCAAGGAGAGACCTCTTAGAGAGAAGCTCTTTTGCAATTGAGATATGTTAAAGGTTGGAGATGGCATACTTGCTATGTCACTTGCCCTTGATACTCTTCCATCTTTTCTTCCGTTTGGCACTGACCAATATGGACCTCCAGACTGCATGATGAAGAAATAAGGCAAACCAACATTAGAAAGTGTACATTATTATGCAATGTTACTTTTATCAAGTTTGAGAAGATATTTTATGGAAGAAAAAAACAACAAATTCATCCCATCTTTACCAGCACAACAGCATCCCTAGCTGCTAAAGCCAAGATATCAGCACATGAAACCACCCCAGGGCAGGCAGCCTCCAATGCTCTCTTCGCATTGTCAACGACGAAAAATGCGTGCAAAGAGAGATTAGGCGCCGCATCTTTCTCCGCTTTGTGGTGTCCTTTCGAGTCCAACAAGATGGAGCCATCACAACCCTGAAAGCAAAATTAGCCACAAGAGAAAAAGTTTGAGTTAGAGCAATGACAATGAAAACAAAATGAACTTTGAATTTCCATAATGTTCATTTTTTTTTCCCTCTTTTACCCTTATCAAGCAGTCATGGAAATGCATTCGCAGGAGCGTGGCGGGGATAGTTTTGTCCCTAGATGTCGCGCTTGTGACAGCGTTTGTGACAATTGAGTCGACGTCCGGGCATGTCTTGGCGTAGTGATTCAAGCTCAGTGCATCGCTTGAAGAAAACAATGAGATTGTGAGAAGTAATATCAGGAAGGCAACACCAAAAGCCATGCTTGGAACTCTTTTTTCTCTTTTTTTTTTTTTTTTTCAACTTTTGCTTATGGGAAATTAATGAGGACTATATGGATTTTATATAGGGGAAAAAATAGGATCGCTGCCAGTGATTGAGAGAGTGAATGTGGCCCCGGATTGTGAATTAGTTAAACACTAATGTTAATTACGAATAAGTAACATTGAAGCAAATAATCTTACCAGAACTAGAAGACAATCTACATCACATCACTCCTTTTTATAGGATTCTTTTAAATTGTTGTGTCATATTTTCTCTGAATATTTTGATCATCATGTAGAATATTTTTATAGGATTCTTTTAAACACTATAAAACATTTGTACCATTTTATTTGTCTACAAGTATAAAAGCTAACCTGCAATGTATATATATCCCATAAGAGAATTAAAACAAAAGAAGTAAAAAAAAGAAAAGAAAAGTATTTTCTATAATTTTTGTTGGGCAATTTTTCTTGATGTTCAAGGTACTAATTATTAGTGGCTCATGCGTTCCTAGACATCATGATAAAAGTACTTGAAAAAAACATCTGTAAATTTCTAGTGTTGAGTTAATGATTATATGCAATGCATTCTCTCTCCCTTTCTTTTCATTCCCTTAAAACGTTAATTAAATTAGAAAAGAACAAAGTTTCAAATGAAATATTGCATGCACCATTATATTATTCTCCCCAAGTCGCAATAATTTCGGTACCAATTTGCAAGCATAACATGTTCATTGAATTATTGAAAAGCCATCAATAATACCTTGACTTTCATTGAAAGATGGGACTAATGAAATATTTTTACGCCCATTTTTATCCCTTTAAATCTCCTATGAACATGATTAATGATGAATCTTCAGCAAGGTGAACAGTCAAATCCACATGCACCACAACCCCACAACACTTATAAGGCCATTGAAGTTTATATTAGCTTTTTTCAAAAGCTCTTTTACCTAAGTGGTATTTTGCACCAATTTTTATCCTTTTTTTCTATAAACGGGAAATATGAAAATTTTCATTGAATTACAGTCTAACGGTTATTCTATATCTGACTTCACCATAAGTAGAATTTGAATCCCCTCATCTCGAATCCCATAATTATTAAAAAAATCTTCATCAAAGCAAATAGTGAAATTTACTCGCACTTTTGCAAAAAAAAAAAAAAAGAAAAAAGAAAAAAGAACCCCTAAAGCTCTAGTAAAGGTATTCCTAGAAGTGGTTAGAATTGAGCCATCAAAGTTTGTCATTAGTGTTTTCAAAACCTTGGTTTCGAAGTCTCACACGTTGTTGGTTACACCTCACAAGGGCATAGCCAACTTTAATCAAATCCTAACCGCCATGTTCCCCACGTATTTTGTTTGCCTTTGTTTTATGGGTCAGAATTACAGGATGTAAAATAACTCAAGTCACAACTAAAGTTTTATTATTATAGTATTTTCTCTCACTATAATTTAAATTTAATTTTTTTACTACAATATTTTCTTTTACATACATAACTCAAGTTGTGAAACAAACAAATAAATCTTTTAAAATTTGCTAGCCTCCAAAGGTTTTTTTGTGTTTAAATAATAGTCTGAAAAACTTTTTGTAGTTCATATCCTAGTTTTTAAAAGTCTTTCGTTTTCCCCCCTTCTTTTTAGGGTTGTGTAATATTTACATGAGCGTTGTTGTGGCAATTTAGGTGGTGCATGTCCATGTAATTGTATGGATTTGAAATGAATTACATGTCACTAATATCACAATAAAAAAACAAAATACTTAAGTGTTAGTTTACTTGATTATTTTATTTACTTATACTTTATTATTTGAATTTAGTTCGTTAATCTTGTTTATTATTTTATAACTTTTAGCAAAACGATTTACTCATAGTCTATGACTATATATTATTTAATTAAAAATTTAAACACCTCGAGTGTGTCAAGGTTTATTGAGAAAATTAGGGACTCTGCCCCCTTTTATTCCTTTAGTTTTATATCACTATTAGAATTATGCATTTTCAAACTTCTATATTATGCAACAAATTGAAAGCGGAAATCTTATAAAATTTTTAAAAATTTAACGTTCTTCTGCTTTTTTTTATTTTATTTTTTTATTTTTTTAACATTAACACTTCTGAAGAGGGATACCGTTTTTAGAGTTGGGTTTATCACATACACTAATTTTTACATACACCAAAGTGTCTTGTTTGAAATTTAACCCTCTAGAAGTTGTACACATCATAATTAAGTGTAAATCAGGTGATATGTTATTTTTTGAGATCTTCTTATTTATGATTTGAAACTCGACTTTATAGAAGTGACATTCCACCTGCAACTTATTAGTAAAGATTTGAAGTAAATAATATATTTTAAAATTATTTAAAATAAATAGTAATAAATTAAAAATTTACGTGATAAAAAATCTTTTTACCACGTAAATATAGTTATAAAAAGAAAATTTACGCATTAAATTTTTTTTTACTATGTAAATCTAATCATAAATAAAAAATTTACTGGGTAAAAATTCTTTTTACTATAATTTAGTTCAAATATTCTAAACTCTGCTATTTAGTATTAATTTAGGAGACGTTTGGTTCATTGATTAGAATCATGAGATTAGAATTATTTTTGATTTACATGTATTTTTTATGAAAAAAAATACTGTAACGAATCACAAACCATAATTCGAATCGGGATACGAATCCTTCAACCAAGCAACTCCTTAGTTTCAAAAATCTACTTTACTACAAGTCATCGTGATCTCGGCCCATCTTATGAATATTGAACATCAAGTAACTTGGGTCAGACTTTTGAATTGGGCTGATTCATCCAACGTTGGTTGGTTAAGTTTTTAGGACTAGGCCCAACTTCAATGTAGAGTATCAAAACCAGACAAGGTCAAAATTGACCCCGCATCGAAACACCCTTACTCCATCCGCAAACCGCCTCGCAGCCGTTAAACCCTAAGATAATTTTCTTCCGGTATTTTCTCTCTAACCAAACACACTTTCAAGTTAAAAACAAAACTCCCAAGCAAGAGACGAACATTAACTCTCAACGTTTCGGCCATTGTTACAGCTCTCCATTTTCATCACCTGAATCAGAAGTTATCGCCGGCGAAACTCCTCTGGTCACCGATGGGGTCAAAGAAAGCTAATAAGAACAAGCGGAACAAATCCTCGGATTCTTCGACGCCGGCGCGAGATAGCGACGGTGGCGTAGGCGGTTCCGAGATAATCACCGACTCCAGGTTCGCTTCCGTACACTCGGACCCTCGCTTCCAGAAGGTTCCGAAGCACAAGGCCAAGGTGGAGATAGACTCGCGGTTCGACCGCGTTTTTACGGACAAGAGGTTCGGTTCGTCTGCGGCTCCGGTCGACAAGCGAGGCAAGCCTAAGAAGCAGGACTCGGAGAATTTTCTGCGCCATTATTACCGAATCGAAGAAAGCAAAGCCGAAGAGAAAGAGGAGGAAGAAGAAGAGGAGGTGGAAGGGGAGAGAAAGAGTCAGGAATTGGCGAAACGCGAATCGGAGACCGAGTCGAGCGGTGAGTCCGAGACCTCCGAGTCGGAGGAGGATGAAGCGGAGAGCTCGGAATCGGACACGGATGAAGATGAAGACGAGTTGGATGATGAACCTGAAGCCCCGGTATCGCAATTTCTTTATGAAAGTTGATGCATTTTGTGGAAAAAAAGGAATTTTCTGATTGATTTCTTAGTCTGGTTGATTAATTTTTGATTTGAGATTAATCAAGCGATGTCTTTTATTGATTTGAGTTAGATGAAAGTTGACACATTTTGGGAAAAATGATTTACTTGATCGAAAATTCGTTGTTTTGATAATTGAATTTTGATATGCGATTAATCAAGTTGAATTCTGTTAGTTATTTGAGTTCGATGAAAGTAGATACATATTGGGGGAAAAAAATGAATTTTCTTGTTGGACTCTTAGTTGTGATAATTAACTTTTAATTTGCGATTAATTGAGTGTAATTCTTCTAGTTATCTGAGTTACATGAAAGTATATACGTATACATTTTGAGAAAAATGAATTTTGTGATTGAATTCTTAGTTGTGATAATCAAGCTGAATTCTTTTATTAATTTGAGTTCTCGATGAAAGTATATACATTTTGGGGAAAATGAATTTTTTTATTGGATTCTTGTAGTTTCAATAACTATTTTTTAATTTCGGATTAATCTAGTTGAATTATTTGATTAATTTGGGTTATCATTGGATAGGAGGAACATATACCAGAAATTGAAAAGGAAACCCACAGGCTTGCTGTTGTTAACATGGATTGGAGGTATGTTAAGGTATGTATCCCAACTTTATATCGAACTTATTATTTGTATCGTTATGGTTTCTTTTTGAGAAATCAGAAAAGAAAAGGAAAAGCAAAAATATTGTGGCCTGCCGTGATTTGGTTTGCATTCAGCAATGAGATGGCTTCTTTTATTTGATTTAATTAATACCCTTTTAACGATCAAGTGTATTAAGATTTGGTTGGTTTATTTATTTATTTACTTATATTATTATGTTTATTGTTGAAAATCCAAGAAGAAAAAAGGACGCTTTCCTACTGAGGTTTATGTTCATCAACCATTAGTTGAGGTGGGATTCTCATGAGTTTAGCTTCGGTTTAGGGTTACCAATCAAGTGTATCAAGCTTTAGCTGAAAATTTTAATTGACTTGTATATGAGATTGGGCTCTTTTCCTCCAGAAAGGGGGGAATAAAGGAACCCCAGAAAAGAATTTGTATGATTATGTTTCTTTTTGAAAGACTATTGAACTTGTATCATCATTATGTTTCTTTTTGAAAACCCATGTGGCCTACTGGGGTTTTTATTTCACTAGTTGAGGTGGGATTTTCACGAGTTTAGCTTCTTTCTTTGATTTAATATGCTTTTGATCAAACCAAGTGATCAAGTTTTAGCTGAAAAGTACGCCTGTATAATATAGGCCGTTGACATGTATATGATGTTGAGCTCATTTCTGCCTAAAGATGGACAAATTCTCTCCGTAGCTGTCTATCCTTCTGAGTTTGGACTTCAGCGTATGAAAGAGGAAGAAGTTCAGGGTCCTGTTGGCCTCTTTGATGGTGAAAGTGAGAAAAGTGGCGATGATAGTGATGATGATGACAATGAGATGTACACTGAGAAGCTGCGTGCTTATGAGAAAAGCAGGCTAAGGTTATTTGTGCTTACACTTTCTTTTTTACTTTTTCATGCTCAAATTTTGTAGCATGTTGTGCAATTATAAATGCTATTTTGCGGAGCATCGTCTTATCACCCAAAATTTCTTTCAAATATGAAATTAATGTTTATGTATATATTTTTCTTCCCAGGTATTACTATGCTGTTGTCGAATGCGACTCTGTTGCCACTGCAGATTACCTTTATACAGCTTGTGATGGGCTTGAGTTTGAAAGATCATCAAATGTGCTTGATTTGAGGTTTATTCCCAATTCGATGGAATTTAAACACCTACCTAGGGACATTGCAACAGAGGTACATTTTCTCCTTTATAGTAAATGAGTGTTTTATGTATTTTTCGAAAAGTTGGTAGTAAGTGATTTGTAAATATGCAATGTACTGAAGAAATTATGATTTCTAATGGATTTTATTTTTTTATATATATTTTTTTCTTTTTCTCTTTACTTTTCTCCCCAATGAAAAAGTAGGTATATTTACTTTTCTTTTTAGTCACATGAGGAGCCTTGAGAAGTTCTTAATTTTACTCAGGCGCCTGCAAACTATGAGGGCTTAAATTTCCAAACTCAAGCGCTGCAACAAAGTAAAATTCATCTCTCTTGGGATGAGGATGAACCGGAGCGTGTAAAGACGTTGAAACGGAAATTCAATGCTGATCAGGTTGGTGCATTACATTTGATTTGTAGTTATGATTTTATGGAGTTCATGTCTTCCACAGTTCCACTGATTTCTTGACAGTATAATCCAAATGTTTCGTCTCCTTTGGCTGCTAACTTCGTTGAATTATTTACTCAACTTATTGGGTTGAATTGTTGTCCTGCAATCATATGTTCTTTATTGCTGTTTCATGCTAAAATATTAGGGTAGCATGCAACATCCACACAAATATGTCTGCTGGATTATTTGCTATTGTTTCAGTTAGTGTGAATTTCCTTCGGCAGAACTAAAAGGACTCTTGCCTTACATCCATTATATAGAATTATACATTTGCTTCTGTGCTGATACATGTTTTCATGTAGCTTGAAGAATTGGAATTGAAGGAGTTTCTTGCTTCTGATGAGAGTGAAAGTGACAAGAGTGAGGATGATAATGCAACGGAGGATCAGCTAGATAAAAAGCAAAAAAAGCGAGACATGTACCGTTCTTTACTCCAGTCTGGCGATGCGTCAGATGGAGATGATGAAGAGGGCGGCCAGGATATGGAGGTCACTTTCAATACCGGCTTGGAGGACATAAGTAAACGCATCCTAGAAAAGAAAGATAAGAAACAAGAAACCGTGTGGGAGGCCAAGCTCAGAGAACAACGCGAAAGAAAGAAGCGTAGAAAGAATAGGTCTAAACATTCATCGGAGGATGAAAGTAGTGATATTGATCAAGAGGCTATAGAAGAACCGGATGACTTTTTCGTTGAAGAAGAGCCTTCAGTTAAAAAACGTAAGAAGTCTGATGGCAAAACTTCGAAAAGGGAAAAGCAACAAGAAGATGCTAATGGGCAAGCTGAAGCAACCAAAGACGAACTTGAATTACTACTTGCTGATGATACCGTTACAGACAAAAGTGTCAAGGGCTATAATTTGAAACCTAAGAAGATCAAGGGAAAAGATGGGAAAAAGATTAAAGAAATCCTAGAGGAGGACAAAATACCGCCTGTTGCTGACGATCCCCGGTTCTCATCCCTCTTCACTTCACCGGACTTTGCTATGGATCCCACAGACCCACAGTTCAAAAGGTATCTCTCATTTATAGTCGTTATTATCACTATTTAGGGCCAGTTTAACAATTTTCTTTTGCACATAACATAATACAAGTAGTGTGTTTGGTAGAAGTTCACAAAACCGACACCGATAAACTCTCAGTTATTTTGAGAAGTTAAGGTTTGTTTCATTTCTTCTAGGCGGAAATGCTCAGAAGTATTTTTAGGCACTATGTCTATTACTTGTTTGTATCATCTGAATTCACTTGTTTCCAATCTTTCAAAGCAACGCTCAAACGTTTTGATCTTATCTCTGCTTTTTGGTTCGGTATAGGAATTTTAGGTTGGTTTGCCTAATATTTTGAGTTTGGTTTTGGCAGGAGTGCGACTTACGCCCGGCAAGTAGCACTGAGAAAGCAGAAGGCTAAGGAAGAATTTGCTGAAAGGGAGAACTCGGTAGCTCCCGAACCGCAGGCCGATGTTGACGAGCAAATGAAGTCCAATGCCCAGTCCTTCAAGAGAGAGAAGTACGAATTATCGACATTGCTCAGGTCGGTTAAGATGAAATCTAGGCAAGTTAAATTACCCTCTAATGGGAATGCGTTGAAGAAAGACGACGGCTCGAAATCCAGTGGTGTGGAGGAGAAGAAGAAAAGGAAGATGAAGGATGAGTACTCAACCTTGGTTCAATCACTCAAGAGGAAAACCCAGAAAGCTCAAGACTGAAAAAAGAGGACAAAGAAATGCCACCTGAACATCGTACAAAGAAGTGGATGTTGAGGGGTAGAAATTTGAAAATTATTTGACAGACTACATGTTGGTTTATTTATGGCTGGTTGTCTTTTACATAATGGTTAAGGACTTAAGGTTCCGGTTATGTTGTATTGAGGACAATTTTGTTTGCGGGTTTTTTGTTTTTATCTATTGTCGTCTGTTTATACATTAGCTACAATGCATTGAATAATAGACTTTAATAATTGCTAAACGTGATTTGAACTTTCTAAGTTATGTCTTCCGGTCCCAAAAAGTGTCTTTTCTCTCCCCATGCCATTGATAAGGGGAAATTTGTGTCCTGTTCATTTCATCGATTTAAATTTTATTTTTAATTTTATTACAGTTAAAAGTTCTTACAAAAAATTTCACGTAAAATCATATCTCAATTTGAATTCGCGAACTAAACGCGGCTTTAATGGAGCTTCCCTGGTTTTCTAACCTTTCAAAGAGTTTTGATTAAAGTTTCCACTGCAACAGGTCCGCTTCATCTTTACTATATATAGAAGAGCTAATATTGGCAATTGTTCAATAGTTTGTGGACCAACTATATCTTAATTTTCTTTAATGTGATCTGCTAAAAATAATAAATCAAGCAAAAACCGAACTTAAAACTTTTCTGAGAAAACTTTACACTCAAAGTACGTGTAAAAAATAAAGAGATTTTTTACCATAGAATATGAAAAGTGCCTATTTGTAGAACTTTGTTTTAACCGTCAAACTTATATCATGTTGTGTTAGCTTTTCATTTTAATGTGATTTTAAACATATTATGCCTCACCGTAAAAAAAACTCCCAAAAAAATAACAAATATAACTATGTGTACGTACTCGTAACTACTTTATTAGAAAACAGCCCAGACAAATCTCTTATGTATCAAAACTTGAAAATAAAAATTAAAAAACAACAGTATTAATGATAGTAAGTAAATCCCAATTCCACAAAGGAAACATGCAGACATTCAAACGACAATACAATGCTGCAAAACCTCAGCTTGAAATTAAGAGAAATACGTCACTGTCTTCGCTTGCAATCAAAATTCAAAACAATTATATACAACCCCATGTTTTATACCAACTGTTACAAATACCGGAAAATAGGAAGTTAAGGTAACTTCCAAAATTGTTCTCTAATATATTATGCCTCAAATAATAATAATAATAATAATAATAACTTATTGATTACATATGATACAGGGGTTGAGTAGACATGAAAGAATGATTAAAAAATAACAAAAATTGGAGAAAGAATAACGAGTATGGGTGCATACGTAAAAGAGTTGAGCTTGGAGAATGGTTTGCAGGTGGTGCGGCTTGTGATATGACAGTCTTGTTGCCAGTAGCTCCTGCAGTGGCTTCCGGGCTAACATTGCTCGGGGGTGAGGCTGCCGGAGAGTTTGATGGCTTTACGGGAAGCGTCGCGGTTTCTCGCTCATCGTAACCTGTGGAAAGTGATTCTCAATGCCATTAACGACAAGGAAAGAAAAGTTTGTGATTGAACTCAAATCCAAAAAAAAAAAATAAAGTTTCACTTACAGTTAGATTCCTTCCAACCAAGGACCAGTTTTTCGCGATCGAAGACTACAGTATAACCAGTCATGAAGTTTTCTGCACGGAGATCGATGAATAGATAGTATAAGCAGCAGTTAAAATCATTGCACAGATTATGTTTGAGAAATCTAATATCATCTCCGATACAAATGCTAATACCAATTGCATATTTAGCTTCCAAAGGTGCGATAATAGTATATTTGACTGTTATTTTTATTTGCGCTCCAATGCATAATACTAGTTCATGCGCCAAATCTACTTTTTACCATAATCATTAAGCTTTAAAAATTATAAACTTTTAATTTTAAAATAATTTGAAAATGTAAATGTTGCATGATTAAATGAAAACGTAAACATATCAACCAACAGCAATCAAACGTCAAATTTTCCATATGCTATACTTGGTGGCAAATTTACCATTTAGGAATGCTCTAACAGGAATTTTCAAACGTCAATTATAGCATTATATTGGAATGCTCTAACAGGAATTTTTTAACATTTAGGAAATAACTTGGAGAATTTTTCTTTGTTGCTGTTGTTTCTAAAGTGAAAAGATCAATTAGCTCGCTGCTCTTTAGTGTCTTTATTAGACCAGTTCAAAGTACCGTTTTCAAAATGATACACCATTGTACATGTTATAGAAAGCAAAGGGAAGATCAAAAAGATACTCACGTCCAATGATATTGACATCTCCACTTTTGACAACACCCAAACAATAGACCCTTCCACCACCCTGGAGATCACATGAATCCATTTTTAGTTACCGAATTCAGGGCTAGAATATCCGCTATAGTGATTCTAAATATGCAATCCCTACCATAGTAGAAGTTTCTACGATTGGATCAATGACACTATATTGTTTTCCACCTTTCATTGTAAGATTTATTGGCGGATATTCATAGCTCTTTTGATTTGATCTGCAGGTAAATGAAGTCAGTGCTTGCAGAAAGGAGGGAAAAACAAAAGTAGAAAGACGATGGCTATCTTTTGGTTATAACCGACCTTAAATTGTAACAATACTCGAAAGGGATTTCAGATTCATTTGTATGCCGGTCTTCTGTTGCCAGGTAATTAAACTGCAAGATCAGCAAAGTTATAAATCTTCAATTGATGAACTTCGAAGCTTGAGACAAAAGAGCGAAATATACTAATTAAAGCGCTTACACTCTCGGTGATCTGTGTATAAGCAGGGTCGTTTAGATACGTAAATGAGGTGCCAGTGTCAAAAATAGCATGGAATTCAAGATCAGCAACAGTCCCTCCCACAGTTATTTGAGTGATAGTGATGTTGTAAGATGGACTGGTGAAATTATCCCGAAAGGAAAATTAGTACCAACTAGAACGGAACTTATCTCAGAGATAATAGATGTAAATCTAAAATGAGCGTGTCAAGCAGTGACCAGTACTCACTGTGATTGTCTAAGATTAAATGGTGTCTCACTTTGGTCCGCACTTCCATTGTCTCCAAATCTGATTCTACCAAGATCATCAGATCCGAAACACATGGAAAAAGAATTTGAGGTCTGCCCTTCTTTTGCTAAGATGCTAGGAACGGATATATCCTCTATACCGAGTCCAATTAAACCATTCGGAGCTGCACCGTCCAAAAACGTACCAGTTTGAACCTTACCACAACTGCATACAAGAGTAACACATTATGGTCTGTTTGTTAACAGGGAAAAGGTAAAGGGAAAATGCGAATGATAGAATGGCATTGATGGGATCAATTTTTAGAGTCATGTCACTAGATTCTACTTAAGCAATCAAAAATTGTGTCGTATTATCATAAGAAATATCACTTACGGGATACCAAAAAGATTAAAATACTGCTTACCCGAAGGTAATCCGGGCATCCACATCTTTTAATTGATCATCATCGGACTTTAAGTGCAATACATCCTCCACCAAGTACCCAGTAGAGGCTGTGCCATTAGAAAGATACACAACTTGGTAAGGACAAGTGCTAGTTTCCGAAGGGCATTGTCGTCGCCATTGTTCACAAAGGGTGCTGTTGCAAGAAACCTTACTGCTTGTCGAAGACGTGTTAGGGCTGTAGATACTAAATTTCAATATCTGTTTAAGAGAGAAGAAAGAAAAATAGCAGGAAAGCTACTTCAGGACTTATTCTCACATCAATTCACTATTTATTTTCTGTTTGATCATTTGCTACCAATTTGAAGATTTGATTACACTTCATTTAGAAACTCTCAAGCTAAATTCATGACATTAGTTAGATTTGACACAGAAAAGCAGGGCAGTAATCGAATATTATGTCGCGAAACAACTATCATTCCAAACTAACATCATCTCAAAATAAAAGGACCAGATTAAATCATGCATAATCATCAAATGAACAAATATATTACCTCTCCATCTGAGAACTTTATGCCACTTACACAACTGGTACAATCACAAGGTAACCAGAACAAGTCGCTTCCGGTGTCTAACGCCACAAGGTATGATGAACTCGGTGACCCCACAGTTATATTGGCATAATGCAAACTGCAAATCCACACCATTTATATGAGACCCCACAAATATACTAAAAAATGGTAGTTTCTATGGTGAGAATTGGGATTCTCTAAAGTCCATTTCTGCATGTTTAACTCGATGAAAATCTAACGGTCCAAAACAAAAATTATAGTAATTTTTGTTTATTCTACCACAGAATTCTTCTTAAAGAATTATACATGAATATTATGTCCCCACAGATATATTGGCATAATGCAAACTGTAAATTCAAAGAATATGAGACTCCCAAAAAAAAAAAAAAAATTTAAAAAGTGGGATTCTATATTGTTTCTTAATGGAACTCGAGGAAAATCAGACGGTCCAAAACTAAATTACAGAAATTCTTTTTTTCTACTACAGAATTCCCCAAAAACAAATATATGAATTTCTTCTCCTTCACTTTCCCAAAAACCAAACAAAAAACAAGTTCGGGACTTGATAAAACACACACACAAAAGGAAAGATAGAGAAGAGAGAGAACCCAAAATAGCATCATCCTCTAGGTTCTCACCAATCAAACAAAGAACTCGTTTAGAACTTATTAAAACACACAGGAAAAAACATTGGCATAGTGTAAACTGCAAATTCACACAATATAAAGAGGAAAAAAAAAACCAACTTTGCATGAGAAAAGATAATTCTTTTTTCATTTTCTTTAGTTTCCCACCAACTAAACAAAGCAAAAGTTCAAAAATTGCAAATTCACACAATATAAAGAGGGAAAAAGAAAAATCCAACTTAACAGTAAAAAGATTACTCTTTTTCCTTCAGTCTCACCGGCAAACAAAGCTAAAGTTGAGCACTTCTAGAGAGAGAGAGAGAGAGAGAGAGAGAGAGAGAGTACAATCCGAAGGTAGCAAGGCGGTAGGTGGCGTTTCCGTCGTAGAAAGTGAGGGGTGACGATGTCTGATCATCGGACGCCAGGTGTCGACCTCTGATTAGTCTGTCACCGTGAACCAACACCTTGTAGTAATCCAAACTCCCCTTCTCCGGAGCATCAAAACCCAGAAATCCCTTCACGGGATCCGATAATCTATGGTGAATATCGCACCCAAATGTCCCAAACCCACTACACCCCCCAATCCCCCATCCCAAAACGACAACTAAACTAATCAACGACAACAAACAATACCCACTTCCAGTTCTCGCCATAATCATATCAAAAAAGTAGAAAAAAAAATCTTATCTTTCCAGAAGAAAATATATCAGAGTTTCCTCGGAAAGTTGAGGCATGGAAAGGAAATTCAAGAACTGAAAAATGTTATATATAATTGTGTGTGTGTGTGTGTGTGTGTGTGTGTGTGAGAACATATGTAAGAGAAGAGTGTCTCGTGGAAGGAAGAGGGGCTTAGTAGTTTGGTCGTTTCTTCTCTTCTCTGTAAGCAAAAGTCAAAAATGTTTCTCTCTCATCTCTCTCTCTCTCTCTCTCTCTCTCTCTCTTCATTTCTTCCCGTCTGTGAGGACGAAAACCGCGGGTGCGAAGGTGGGACCCATTCCCGCTTAAAATATATCAAGAAAACGGATTTTTGAATTTCTTTTTTTGTTTTTGGTCTCTTAACAGATTTTTAAATTCTTTTTGGTTAAAATATTAGCATTGTATTAATTTATGGTTATGTGGGAGTATACGTAGTAAAGTGACATAATTGGCTAATTGAAATTTGAACTCTCTCAAGATTTGCAAATTAGTCCTTTCAAGTTTGAAATCTAAGGCCCTTTTTTAATTTTTAATTTTTTAAATTTGAATCTTTTAACTTTAATCTCAACTTCTACTCTTCTTTTTAAAAAAAAAAAAAAAAAAAAAAACCTACTCAAAGTTGTGTGATCAAATTACAATAAAGTATAAGGTGGGGAATTTCCACAATAAGGTGAAAATTGTCGTATGAGAATGAAAATGGAGAAAAGTTAGAGATGGGTTAGGTAAAGTCGTTTGACGTGTGAGATAGAGGGCATAATTAGCTCTAGAAATTATTCAATACACTTGGTGTATTACGTCATATTATTTATATAATACATCTGTCTTATTATTTATGTGATACATTTGTCCTATTGTTTTCATTTAGACATCTTGTCTATGTCAGTTTTTCACTTTTATTTTTCTCTTTCTTAATAGGTATTTGCATTGAATACCTATTAGAAAAGAAAAAAATAAAAGTGAAAAACTGATATAGACAAAATATCCAAATAATACAATCTCATTAGACGCGTGTCTAAATGGTACAATCTCATTAAACGGATGTACCACATAAATAATATGACATAGTACACCCGGTGTACTGAATAATCTTGTGAAATAGAAGAGAAAATGTGAAATATTTTCAACCAAAAAAAAAAAAGGAATGTTAATTTGTGAATTAGATAATTAAACCCATTTGATTGAAGGCCAGTTGTCAAACAGTCCACGCGTTTGATTAACTCATTGCTTAAAATGCCATTTAACATATTACTTTTTTTTTTCTTGCCTCCTACTTCATTCAATTGGTTATTTGATGGCTATTTATTCATCCCACATCATCATCGCTTTCTCTTTAATTTTTCCATTCTAATTCACAATTCTTCCACACAAAAAATTTCTATTTCACAATTTCAAAAGTAAATAACGCGTCAATGATTGTATTAGAGTCTTTTTTTCTCTTCCTTTTTTTTCAATGAACTTTAATAATTGCATTTGTATTCATAGACCTGTAATTGTTTAGAAAATGTAAACAAAACAATATAAACTTTAGGATGGGGTGAGAGTAACAATATAAACTTTAAAATGTAAACAACTCTAACACAATTTTTAACAATTAAGTATTTATTAATTTCATTATTAGCCGTACTTTATTTGATCGCATATGATTTAATTTAATTTAATAGTTAAAATATAACCGAATTTAATCAAACTTCTGTATCCTACTGACAAGGTATTTTCTTATTTTTACCACAAAACTGTATAATAAATTAATTTGTCTTTGTTTCTTAAGTGCTTGGTATATAAACTGAAGAGCTTTATGTTAAGAATATCCTATTATAGTGCATGTCAACTAACGTTAGTTCTAATTAAAATTATACTAAGGGAAAAATTATACAAAACTTATTCAAAACAAAATCTTATTTGTAGGATTTTTGTTATATACCCACCAGTAAGCTTTTTTTTTTTTTTTTCCCCTCTCCTTAAAAGGGTGAAAACTTTGCTTGACATTCTCTTATCAGAGAACATGACAAGTTAATTTTACGTTTTCTGGCGTATTTACTATATAATACTTCTTCCAAGGCTACAACGTGTGAACTAATTGGCCAATGAGAGAAAATTAATGTGGCCGGAAAAAAGAGTGTGACTTTTTTTTTTTTTTTTTTTTTTTTCCACTAGTCGGCAATACCAGGACGTTGCTTTTTGTGTATTAAATTGGACCATAATAGTTCCTGGTCAAAAGGAAAATAGTAAGACAAATAACGCCCGCCTTCCAGAAGAAGAAGAAACAAAATAAAAAATAATAATAATAACAATATAAAAACCATTTTTCCATTGTTTCCATAAGTTTCACTTTCAGCCCTGCCCAACTGAGATTGACTTGCCAAGTTTTTTCTGATGAAGATTTCACAACTATAATTTCCATTTGTACTCATATATATATATATATATATATATATATATATATTGATAGTTGATAAAAAAAATTAATGACAATTAATAAAACTAAATTCTTTTTACGTTATGTCATCAAATTTTTATATTTATAAGTGACCACCAATTAAAACGTGACAATTGAAAATTCATATATATATATATATATCATATTTATATATATATATATATATATGACTATCATTATCATGATGCTAACCAAAGTCCTTAAAAATTTAACTTCATTCCATGTATGATGTGTTCAAACGAATGTAAGAAGAAAATTTGGAAGCCGTAGCTATCAATATCTTTCAAAAGCTTTGCGGATAAAAGAGGGAAAAGGAAAAACATAACAAGAAATAGTGGAACTAAAAGCCTCTGTACGCTTCCTTTTTGGCATTTCTTAACAAGGTGGTATCTCATGAAATCCTAATCAAAGTCCTTATCAATCACCATAATCCAACACTAGATCCTTCTCAATTTTGAAGCCCTCAGTTTATATATATGCCTTCCCCTCGTCTCCAGAACTTTCACATGCTATCGAAAGTGTTCTTTACATAGGTTTGAGTGGAAAAATTTAAACTGAAATTTAAATTTTTGTGAGAGAGAAAACACTAACAAAAAGGTTAAATTGTGAGTCGAACCTACGAAAAGAAGGGGAATTATAGTTTCAACTATTGTGGTTGTTAACCAATGCTAACAAAGACCTTGACACTTGAGTGATAACCAAAAAAAGGGTGTTTGCATATAATAAATCATTGACTTTCTTGTTCTGTATCCTATAGACTTCACGTGAGAGACACATATGGGTGCTGAACAAGTGACCAAGTGTACAGTAGTAGTTGGTGCTTGTTGTGTTGATATTGTCATCAATTTTTTAAGCTGTTTTATTTATACTCAGCCTGTGGTCATTTAGAGCTTTATATCATTTAACTCAATTTCTTTTTCTCATTGATGTTGTTAATAGAACAAGGCTTTTCTGTTACATCACTGCGCCTGATGGACTAGAAAATGCAAGGACTTAATCAAGTATCTATTAAATACATAACCAACTACTTTTTTTTTTTTAATATATTTTTTATTTCTTCCTTTTCTTGCTAAGGACTAAACATCTATACCTTTTCTTTGTTTTCTAGAAGACTGACTTCAGGGCTAAATCTTAATATTGGGTGATCCCACTAGGTTCTTCCCACCAACAGCTTTAAACAGGCATTAATAAGTGATGGAGATTTCCAACAGACAGATGCCGATATTTCACAGCCAATCACTGTGTTGACTTCAAATTTTTTTTTTCTTTTCATTCCTTTTTATTAATCACCAATAAAGATGGACTCTATTTAAGATGAGTGAAGCAAAAAAGGTTTAAATTCTGTAAACTCCTGATCTAAGAGCGTGTCATAAGAGGAAAAATTCTTTTTGTCATTGAGTAAAAGGCTATTAACAACATGTGTAGCATTATTGTCTGCTAAAAGAATAGAAGATGTTCCATCTCTTAAAATATAATATACAACACTAGTGTAGTGATTCCTATGCTAGATGAAGATGTCCCGGCGGAGGAAGAGAGGGAAGGAACATAACAGGTACTATTTGTTTTTGGGTGTATCATGTATCGTGTATGTGGCCCCGCCAAAGGGATCGACGATGCGCTAAGGTGCAGAGGTCATCCCAGATTTTCACAAGCATGGTATGAAGTGGAAATATAATCGGACAGAGATATAACCTAAAATATAAAACCTACTGGGGCTAAGAGCGGTCTACAAAATCATGACCATGTAAAACGTAATAGAGAAAAAATGATGAGAAATCTGAAGCAAGTCATTGGAATGCTATGGCAGTGATAAGATGAGGAACCCCTTGAGTTCTGATTATTCCTCATCTCTTTTTTGGATTTTGGCACGGAAGTGTTACCTAGTCCAGCAGCAACAGCAGGAGGCACAGTGGTAGAATTGGGTTTTGCTGGGAAATTATTGTAATCTTCAATGTCATAACCTGCATGAGGGAAAGTTTAGTCGTACAGTAAGAAGTTTATTAGAGAAAAACATAGCAAAACATCATGTGCAAATTGAAAAGTGCATGGCACCTACAATCAGATTTCTTCCAGCCTAAGACGAGTTTCTCTCGATCAAACACCACTCGGTAGCCAGTCATAAAGTTTTCTGTAGAAAGATTGAAGAATAAGGTGAAATAACTTTGTAAATGATCCGTGAAACATTGATATGTTGCGAGACAAGAAAGCAAATTAACTTCATCAGTGTTAAGGCCTAATTTGGCGTGTACCTCAACTCTTTTCTAAACATGGGTGGAATAGAACAATAAGAGTCTTAGAACAAATTTTAATCCATTTTTACATAAAAATAAAATTTTGAGATTGTTTCCCATGAATTAACACCAATACACCATCAAATCAATGTTTTATTATGGAACGTTTAAATTAGGACTGATTGACCAACACAAACTTACGTCCAATTATATTCAGTTCTGCACTCTTCACAACTGCCAGGCAATATACAATTTCGTTCTGCAAATCATTAGTAAGATTCATACTTAGAAGAAGATGTTGCAGGTTATTTAATAAAACAGAATAACGGAAAAAGAAACTTACCTGTGTGGAGATTACAATAATGGGGTCATAGACAGCAAATTGACATCCACCTTTCATAG